TCTCCGGTAACCTGAGAATCAGTCCCAGTCTGCCCCTATCATAACTCCTATGTCTGATTCAATACAGCTTACTTTAGGAAATTAAACCAGTGCTGCCTAATGACAGAACATGAGTATGACATTTAGATTTCTGCAGGATCATCAAATTACAGGAGAAATTTGCCTTAAATGAAGGTTGTCATAAAATGGATATACAACTTCTGTCCCTGCTTGAAGAGAAAGTGAGAAAACCTTTACATTACTCAGTAGAACTGATTTATCCAGAGTACAGCCTGATTCCAGCACTAAACACAGTACATCTCCAACACTGTAACACATACAGAGCATCCCCAGAGACAGGCAGACCTTCAGAACTGTACAACTGATGTGTACACAATGTGGAAGCTCAGTATAAAGAGGGTGACATTACCATGTCACAAAAAGAGCCATCACAGTCATTCTGCCAACCAAATGCATATTTCCAGAGTCCACCTCTAGCTCCAAAAGCAGCTTAAACCACCTAGCCAGTCATGCAAAACTCAACTTCTCTACCTTTGTCTTCTTTCATTTATCTTTCATCTTATGATTTTGTATTTTGTCAGTTCCATTTATTATGGCTTTTCCAGTTGAAGACCTCCATATAGATGAGATTACAGACCATGAAAGTTTTACTTTTACGTTCSCACTTAAATTTGATAGCTTTCCCTTAASATACAAATTCAGAAATATTCAACAGCGTTGGTTAAAAGCAACAAGCTTTTTCATCTTTTTTTCTTGCATTTTCTTTGCAAAAGAGATTTAAAATCCTAAGCACTGGAATTCAGTGRCCTAGGAACGCATAAGACATCCTGGAAAGCAAACAGAAAATATACATTCAGCTCCCTCCTACAAGCAAGAATGAAGCCTTTAACTACAGATACATATTTTCCCCTCTTCTTAATAAAGAATATGAAGGTACATTTCTTTTTTATATGGTTACAAACACAACAAGCAAAATGAATTTCAATAATCCTTCAGTTATTTTCTACGAAGAAGTYAAATAGACTGGCAACAAACTGGTTGTGGTGACATAATACTTAATTAAAAGATTAACAACACATTATTTTCTCAGAAGCTAAGCAGCATAAAGCTTTGCTGCCTTTTTYACCAATCACAGTTTTATTCCAGATGATTAATGGTAATTTTATTCAAGTAGAATCCTTTCCGTGCGACATGTGATCCCTGTATTTTCACGTCAAAGTATTACACACTACTATGCAAGGACACCACATGACTGCATTAGTCACTAGGATGGAACCAAATGGTGAAACCCAGTGTGGCTTTTTCTGTATCACAAAATGAAACARTATTTTAACAAGTACTTCGGAGAGTGTTAACAAACTAGGAATCTAATTTCATTTAGAGCCCAGAATTGATGAGGCATACCAAACTGAACACATAAGCACTTCCCTGTGTCTAGCTTCGGCACAGGGCTAAACATGACACAGCACAACTGGTAACTGACACCCATTGAAATACATCCTCTCAAAACCAGGGAAAAAAATCTCACCAGTCATTACACTCACGGCTTCCTCTGCRGCTAGCCCAGAGATGTCAAATAGTGCAAGCACAAACACATACATAAGGAACAGGCTTAAAAATAATTTTCACATAAACTAGTAGATAGTTACCAAAATGCTGAGCTCTAGCAACASAGACTGGATAGGAGCTCACAACTCTTCACTACTACATTTCACTACACAACAACCAACAGCTAAGTACAAGAAGTGTACTCATATTCAGACCACCTTCCAGATGAAGAATTGACTACATCTTGGGTAGGACTGACATTCTTCTGATTTAAAATGTTAATCTTGTGTAGCAGTTTCTGACACAAAATGCAGCTGACTCAGTCAGYTACAAACTCTAATACTACTAATGCCACATGACACTTTGAGCCAATCTGCTCTCTTTCTAGAAAGGAATATTTAAGCCTAAATCACAGCAATGATACTATGCTCCCCTTTTGGTATAATACTGTGTTTCAAGTACATTGCAAGCTTAAGGGAGTCTAGAAAAATGTTGTAGCTTTCAAAAATTAAAAAAACACAAACCAAACCAAGTCTGGACATATAATATGCCCTCTAAACGTTTCCCATCCACAGGAAAGACAGCATTTTCTAACATTTAACAAAAAGGCTTTTGCATGCAAAGATCTGGAATTAATCTAGTAATTTAAGAGAGGGAAAGCCCCCTGTGCTCTGGTTCTGATGGAGACCTCAGCAGGRACTACATTGACTGCAAAAGGTCATTAGGGACACAGAACACGAGCTTATTCAAACCAAGTCAGAGGGTCAAAGCATTAAGCAATGGACTTGCATACCAGAGAGGATTACCTACCTAAGTAGTTAACACACAACTGTGAGCTCAGGCTTGTATCGATCAACTGCACTAATCCCAAGGGTCGATTGCACAGTGGTGTGTGCTGCAAGATCAACAGCCTTGCCTTCCCAGTTATAAGMGTAAGTACATGTAATGCAGGGAAGAAAAACCGAACTTTGATGCATCTTAGAAGACCTACTTTTTCAAACAAGAAAACTATTTATAAATTGTAAACAACATTCCTTTGCCTTTCCTTCAAAGAACTCTTTTCAAAAACAGATTCAGAGCTTTCCAATTATGGCTCCACTGGACCTTCCTTACGTTGACACTGATCTGCATTGCATGGATCAATTTTAAATAGATAATCATGCCTTTAGGTTGAGATAATTGTAAAATGACAGCTGAAACGCTGGAATTAATGGTTGAAGAGACTGGGAGTGATTATGCCAGAAACAAAATAAAGAAGTTTGGACAGATGTTCTACGTAATGAGTAAAATTAAATTTCTCACTGACCAATTTATCAAGCATCAACTATAAAATATGAGAAAAGACTACTGTTAAAAACTCATTATACAGAGTTTGAGCATGGACAACAATTATTAATTAAATAAGCTTGACAACTAAATTATCAATACATRGAAATCATACTTACACAAATTAAAAAGAAGGATGAGTAAAATGATACYTTTAGTGTCATTATAGCACTTTTGCCACCAGCACCAGCCAAAACAGCTCCAGCTGTCACAGCGCGACAGATGACGCTGGATTGGTCCAGAAACCTGACTCCATTCTGTCAGTTACAGGTTTTTGTCTCGAGAGTAACAAAACATCATTTGAATAATGGAGATKGAGCTCTTCCACGTGTATTTGATGATTTTTCACCATTATGATTTTTCTACCCATCAACAGAAACTATACAGTAAATCTCCCAGATGACCAAGTATACCCTTTGAATATTGTGAAAATTTAAGTTCTGTTCATTAAAAAGAAACTAACACTTAGTGATTCACATATTTTAGATCTGACGGTTTCTTAGTTTTCCCTTGGAAGTTTCCTGTCCCTTTGTTTCAGTTCACATTCGAATGTACAGTGTCTGACTTCAGCAGCAGCAACTTCTTCCCTGACTCACTTGTTCCACAGTGCGTGCAAAGGAAAAAAAACCAAAGAAAGGTAACAAACATGCAGGCCAAGTACAGGTGGTGAGACAAGGAAAGCACAATCATTTTCACTTTTGTTTCTGACACTAAACCCACAAACCTGCAAAGCTGTTTAAAAATGACATACTTTTTTGTCTCTTTACCCTTAGAATTAGGGGTTTTTGCCTAAAAGGTTTAAGCACCCAGTGGAAACGGTGATCTTAAGAACCACTGGCACTTTTGAATTGCAGCTCCGTGTGTACAGGAAACTGATGTCATTTAGCAGCAGTTCTGCGTGGTACTGTAACCCAACACCACCCTGTACACACCTCAAAACACTCCAGGTGCTGCTGCCACAGGGAGTAYCGCAACACACCCCACTGCCCATGGCTGCTGCACAGCTACATGCAGATTTTCCCTATGGAAAAAACGGAAGGAGGAAGACACAATTGTTTTTAGCCCCCCTCTTGCCTGAAAAATGCCAGGAAATCAACAGTTATAGGAATGCCTGCACARGGGCAGAAAGACCCATTCTCCAAGGCTGATAAGAGAAGGTGAGGAAGAGCYCTGGCAAACTGCAGCACTTCCTCTTTTTCCCTAACACCCTGAATCCACARCTGGAGTAGGAGTAACATTCCCCTCACTAAGATCCCACAGAAGCCTTAGTCCCATAACAGGCTGTGGGATGCAGCAAGCCTTCCATCAGCAGCACAGCCGCTGAAGTTACATCATCAGGCACAACCCAGTTACCCCTTGGTCTGGCAACACTCAYTTGCCAAAGTGAGTCATTTGGGAATATTGACCTCAAAGTGCTTAAATCCAACACAAATACATTTTACTGGRGCCAGGATGACAGCCACATTAGCTCCACAGCCAAGTGCCAGAGTCCACTTGCTTATCTCCACTCTAATGAGACAGCATCGGTGTCGTAATATTTCCGTCTGACTGGGGTTTTCTTCACTTGTTTGGCATTTTTAATGACGTGGAGAATAAAAACATATGATAAGGTAGTTACTCATTTCCATCTATTATCATTTCTTTCACTAAAAAAAAAAACCAAACCAACAAAGCAAACCTTCCCTTTAGTAGGAYACATTTTGAACTACCAAAACACAGAAAGACAGCCCTTGAATTATACCAAATASCTTCATAATGCCCTGAATTCTAGTAAGCAYTGAGCTGCAGAGAACACAAAAYATTATGAAGTAGTTAGAAAACGCTAAACTGAAGCATYCTTACACCAGTGTRTRCATCYGTGGGATGTTKGCATCTCAAACTATGAAAAAGATGTAGTCAAAAGCAGAGCAGCTAACTAGAAAAGRTCCAGAAACAGATGATAAGCACAAATACAAAAGTTTAGGACTACAACCCGTGAAGTAAATATGATTGGCTCCTCAGCCTACAAGAAGATGCACCCAAAAAGTGAACATTCTGTGATTCAGAATATTAATATCACAAGTGGCAAATAYAGGGTATGAGCACCCTCATTTTCACAGCACAAGAGAGAGAAACTAACAAGTTACCTGAAAGCAGACTCGACACATACCACACCCCCACAGAAAATCGGATGTTTTGGTTCTTGACGGATTTAGTTACTGCGGGGAGGCAGGTCCGAACATCGGACACCAACAGCTTACTCGGATTTCAACAGCCACCGGGCAAACTCATCAGGGGTTACTAGGCAGAAAAACATTCCCTTGACCCCAGCAGTCCCGGAAACTGCTGGAAAGCAGGAGTCTGCGGAACAGGAGCGTCAGCCCTCCGCCTGACCTCCCCTTGCTCCGGTGGTCCAGCCCAGGGCCGAGTGCCGTCACCTCGCAGCGGCTGTACCGAAGGGGGAGGAGGTTCTCYGTCCCTTGAGTAGATGAAGGGGTGCGGTCCGTCCCCGCCTGCCCCCGCCCGGTACCTGCGGCCCCCGCGATCCCCGCCCGTACCTGCGTGCCCCAGCCCCGCTGACCCACCCAGTACCTGTGGCCCCACGGTCCCGCCCGCTACCTGCGGCCCCCGGCCCCGCTGTCGCGCCGTCCTGCGGTCACCGCCCGCCGTCCCTACGGGCCCCTCTCGGCGCCGCCGGACCCGGGCGACGCCATCTTGTCTGGGCCCCGCCGGCGGGATGGCGTCACGCTGCGACGTCAGCTGCGCCCGCCGGGCCAATCGGGAGCGCTGGGCGGTGACGTCAGCGCAGCACGGAGGGGGCGGGGCGAAAGCGGAGTCGCGCCTCCTCCCGTGAGGGGCGGGCCGGGCTGGGGCGGGTCTGTGTGTGTGTCACTGTCCCTGTCCCCTGCCTTTGCCAGCCGCTATCCCTCTCCCTGTCCACTCCCTGTCCCTCTCCCATGTCTGCCCTGTTCCACCCCTTTAGCAGCCGCTGGCCCTGTCCCTGCTGCATCCTTGTCCCAGCCCTTGTCCCTGTCTCTTCCCGTGCCTGTTCTATGGCCGCCCCTGTCCTGTCTCTTCCCCGCCCCCTTGGTGGTCGTACCCCTATCCGTATCTTTTTACCTGCCCTTGTCCCTGAACCATTCCCTGTGCCATCTCTGTCCCTGTCCCTACCCTGTCCCTGTCACCATCCCTTTATCTGCCCCTCTCCCCGCCCCTGTCCCTGTGCTGCCCGCTGCTCTGTCCCCAGTCCTGCCCTGCCCAGGGGCTGCTCCAGCCCCTGCTGCCCCTCTCCCAGCTGGGCACCGTGCCAGGCTCCCCAAGGGGCTGGATGCAGGYGGTCATTTCACCCCAGACCCCTCAGACCCTTCCCTCAGCAGCCAGCCACASCCACCTCACCCTCCCGAGGGGTTCAGGGGACATTCCCGCTGGATTTTTAACCTTTTGAGCAGTCCTGGTTTTGAAATGGAGGGGTTTTGTCCAAAATGCAGGTGGCAGTTGTGTATGYGAGGGAGGATATGGAGAAGAGAGTTAAACATGGTAAATCATAACAAAAAAAAAACCCCTAAACTGGCATTTTCCTTTTTATCCTTAGAGGAAACTGGAAAGCCTGAGAGGTTCTTTTATAGGGTTTTTTTTTTTTTCCAATTAGGCTTCTCGCAGCATCCTTGTCTTTGGATTTGGCTAGATGAAAACACAGAAAAAAGGTCCTAAACCAATGTTGTATTCAGAACATATGTACTGATCCCATATGACTGGAGGCAGCATGAAATTTGAGGTGGTCAGGAGCTGGCTGTTTTTTTAAAGCTGTCTGCACATCACATATTTTTCTTGCTTTTCTTCTCTRCAATGCCACTGGCAAGCAGTGATTGCTGGGTTTAGAACACATGCAGTTTTGTCTCTGAAACCATAGAAAAAGAGTGYATGCGCCTGTGAACGTCAGAAAAAGCACTCATCCTTCCACATGAKMCACAAAGGGGTGCAATGAAATGTAAATACACTGTATCTCTTTAACTTCCCAGCAATAAGTGATTTCCAGGGTAGAATGTGTGGGAAAGGACTGGGGGTGGAATTAGAGAAAATTGGGAAGTTATGCTTGCATTCTAGCAGAAGTTATAACAGTACAGAAATTGTAGGGTGAAATGCAGTTGCGAATCCCTGGATGGGATGKGATTGGCATGCCCAATTCCCCACATACAATCCATGCTAAAGGGGACTAAACAGGGAGGGTGGAGCAGAGTGGAGACACTGGGGCCAGGCTCTGTTGAAATCCTGGCAAGAGGGGGAACTCAGTGGTGCAGATAAACTGCATAGCAGCTGAGAACCAAGAGGAAAAAATGGGATGTCTTGCTGTTGAATCAGTAACAGTAGCGAGATCACTAATGTCCGCCTCCATCCCAAAGGTTACCTTAGACGTGACTTTACCCACTCCCAAAGTACAACCTCTCCACACTGAATATGATGTGTGACTAGAGTTGCTCAAGCTAGTGCAAGAATAGCGTAAAAGTAAGTTAAAAGTGGGGAGAAGTTAGGGACGATTCCATTGTAACTTCTGGGATCGGCTRTCTGATCAGGTTGGCCCTGTAAGAGCTGTACTCTATATGTGACGGTTGTTTGTCTCAATTGCTCGGAATATATTTTTGCAGACAGACGCTACCACTGGCAACCTTTGAACCTTAACCTGTTACAGTTTGCTGTTTTTTWAAATAAAAAGTTATTATTCTGCAAACTGTCCTTCAAGGTATGAGTCAAGGGCATTGACAGTGGGTAAAATACTCAACTGGGGAGGCCTCTGATGTTCTTGGTGTGCATTCCTGGATCTTTGCTGGAGTGCTAAAAGACCAGTTAAAGGTATGGAGACCCTTGAAGGGATTTTTGTGTTTACATGCGCCCCTGAAMAAGTCAGTTGAACCACCTCCTGATTCAGTGTACTGTTCAGGGAAGAGTTGGACATCAGGAAGAATTTATTCACAGAACGGGTGATTAGACATTRGGGATGAGCTGCTCAGGGAGGTGGCAGAGTCATCGCCCTCGAGATGTTTAGAGGAAGACTGAACATGGCACTAGTGCCATGGTCTGGTTGACAGGGTGGTGTTTGGTCACAGGTTGGACTGGGCAAGCTTAGAAATCCTTTCCAACCTAATTAATTCTGTGATTCCACCCCAGCAGTGGCGTCCTGACAGACTGGTCGGGCCKAAGTGTCTCGGTTTTCCTGGGCTGCTCACAGGCTGATCAAACTCACAGGATTTGGGGAAATCTCCCCTTCCCGTGAGGGATTCCCAAACCTCCGTCCTGTGCTGAGCCCGCCSCTCCGCCTGAGGGCCCCACGCCGCCGCCACGCTTGCTCCGCTGCCATGGCAACGGCRAAGGGGGCGCGGCCAGCCCGTCCGGTTGCTGGGCAACGGAGCACCAGGGCGGGGCGGGGCCGCCGCCGCAAAGCTGCCACGCCACTGTCGTAAAGACGAGAAAAAAACKAAAGCCCGTGGTGCTGTAAAATGCCGTGAGGCGCGGCCGGCGGGGCCTGAGGGACAGAGCTCGGGCCCGGTCCCGCTCCATATGCCCCGAACCGCCCCGTCCCGCTCCATGTGGGGCCGCTCCTCATCCCCAGCCTCATCTTTCTACTATGGCCCGGAAAACAGTTAGCAGGAAGCGGAAAGCGGCGGCGGCTGCCGCCGCGGGGACCGGGGGACTCCAGGGGGAGCAGGTAAGAGGGAAAGGGTGGGGAAGRAGCGCTTGTTCCCGGGGGTGGGAAGCGTTGGAGAAGCGCTGGTTCCCGGGCCGGGGCAGACGTGCCGGTGCCCGGGAGGAAGGGGGTGGCCGTGTCCGGAGRTGGCGGAGGGTGTTCTGGGGGCTTGGGGGTCCTGGGGAGGGGCAGCCAACGGTCCCGGTGTCACCCGGAGAGGAGGAGCCCTCGGTCTCGGTGTCACCCGGGGAGGGGCAGCCACGCTCCTGGTGGCACTCGAGGAGGGGCATCCCCCAGCCCCAGGGTCACCCGGGGAGGAGGAGCCCCCAAGTCTCAGGGTCACTGGGGAGGAGGAGCCCCTGGTCTCAGGGTCAGTGCCCCCCTTTTTCCCCGCGCCCCGGGGCTCGCGATGCCCCGTTGGCTTCAGCCGTTCGCCCGTCGCTGTCGCGTAGCAGCGATGGCCGGWTGGCTCTGGCCCGGTCGGAGGAGGCTGGACGCCACGGTCGGTATTTGGTAGCCACCTGGGTGTCACCCCCACGCCTGCCAAGCTAAGGGCGAGGCCTGTCGGCGGTGCTTCTCTCGCGTTCCAAGCGCTTCGCTGCGTCCCGTGAGCGTTTGGCRTTCCAACGGTGTCGAACTGCCGTGAATTGTCGTTACACCATGGCGGTGTTGCTCCTTTAGCAGATATTTATGTTTAATTGCTCCATGGGTGGTTTGGAAAGCTTCAGGGTTTGTGCCGGGAATATCGTTGAATTTGGAAAGGTGATSTCTTAAAGTTTTTGTTGCTTTATCCACTTTCCAACTTTATTTTCCCCAGTATGAGTGGGATCACTCGGTTCACAAAAGGAAAAGGCTCCCGCCGGTGAAAAGGTCTTTGGTGTACTACGTCAAAGGGAGAGAGGTCCGGATGCAAAATGAGTCCAGCTACCATCGCTTGTTGCACGGATACGCAGCCCAGCAACTCCCCAGCCTCCTGACAGAAAGGGAATTTCACCTCGGAACACTCAATAAAGTGTTTGCCTCCCAGTGGCTGAACCACCGACAAGTGGTGTGTGGGACAAAATGCAATACGGTAAGTGCAACCTGTCGCTGTTTTCTCTGTTAATTATTCCATCTCTACCCTCAAATGATGCTTACTGTAATCAAAGTGTGTGGATGGCCAGGGAAAATACTAGGAATTTGTAACTAATACTAGTTAGGAATGGAATCAAAATCACGCACGGTTAGCTTTGAATGAAAGCARTGCTTAGGGGTGATCTGTCTGAAAATGTGGCAGTGTGAGCCCCAACAAAGAAGCATCTGAGTGATCTGTACAGAGCGATTTACACCTGTTTKCGGGATGGAAAGCTACACTGAGGTTGGATCTTTCCTGTTGTCCTGCAGATGGGAGGCTAATGAACAGGTATTAGTGTCTCTAATGGTGGCTGTCAGTGCCTGGCAGAACTTGCTGCTAAGGTTCCTGTTTTCAGTTATGCTCAATCTTACACGATTTGGTTTTACATATGGTTCTGTGCTTTAAACAGTTGTTGTCTGGTTAAACTCTAGATATGTGTCAAGGCAGCCAGAAATRTTCTAAGTTTGAAAACAAATGCATTTCAGATCTTCATGGTTATCCTATGCTTGTTGACTTTGTAATTCTTCATTCTAAAATGTTTCCAGTGTTCAAATAACTTCTCTTGTTTGTATCTCTTTGTATGCTTCTATGAAAATTAAAAACTCCTCAGATTCCTAAAGTGATGCTTTGAAACATTTCAGGGGAATATTAAAATGGTGTCCTGTGGGATTAGTAAAGGGGAGAATATCATGTTTCTTCGGTAATACTCTCTCTGCCAAAGTTAGTAGCCCAAGTTCGTTGGCTGAGGTTGCAATTTCATCCAGGAAGTTCTGATTGAATTAGTGTAAAATCGCAGATTGGTCCTTTGCAGATTGGTTGGTGCCAAAGAAAGGAATTGAGGGTTACAAGGAATGCATGCATAGATGAAGCTGCACTTAAATCTCAGAGTGTATCAGTTGCTGTGTGCTTCTTTGCCCCAAGATCTTCCTGTGCCAAAGCCATGCTCAGTGGTCTGACCAGCAAGGGACAGTGGTCTGKTTTTTTTTTCCATTTCAGATGTTCTGTTATTATTCACAGTTGCACAGGAGGAGGCTTTCATGCAGTAGCTCTTAAGAAACAAGGCCTAACTGTATAAACAAAGCAATCTTTTAGCAGCAATAAGCCTGAAATAGAATATCTCTGCCTACTTTTTCCACATACGTGCATCTCCTCAGCCACTCAGCATGAGCGCTGGTTGTGGAGCTGCTTACAGGAGACAAACTCCTGCGGAAACACCAGCTCCCAAAAATCTTGCTTACTCTAGCAATAGGACAGCAYATTTTATAGAGCTCCAACGATTTTGCTGTGTTCTGTAACTTTTGTAGCTCCAGCGCATCTGCCGCGAAGATAAATGGGCAAGTGGGTTGTTAACACAACCTTGCAGAAAATTGTTTGGGACCAAACAATCATGGAGCTGAAGAGGGATTCAGCAGTATTGTTGTTCCCTCTGCACATGCTGCAACCAAGTGTGTTCTTCCACAACCAGACTTAATCTTAGAGACAGACCTCATCTGTCACTGAGCAAAATAAAGTGATTACAAAAGAAGACCCTGCAGCATTGTGAAAGATCATATATAAAATATGAATACTGTAATAGCTGTAGCTTGTTTGCTTTGTGTTCACATTTGAACAAGTAGAGCGTTAAACTCTACACTCTAATTATGAGTTTTTTCTCTCATCTCCTGAGTGAGCTATTGAAGAAAAATTCCTTTGCAGATTCTCATATGCTGAAGTTGTGGCATTCAAGTTGAAAGTAAATCTTAAACACCGTGGTTGACTTCAGTGTGGTTTGCTGCATTGGAGTTGCTCTTAATTAAATTTAATGTAAGAGAAAAATATAAACTATAGCAGTTATTTTAATCAGAGCTCGACTGTGGCACTGAGTGCTTTTAGCATTTAATTTATAAATGGCCCTTCACTGTGCAGTGCCAGGAAGATTCACTATTCTTAATGACAAAACAAAAATACACTTTTGTCATAGAGAAGGAGGTTTGGGTTTAGTCACTTGGCAGTACTTGTTACTATAAAAACACTGAGGAGAATATGTTGTTCTCTGTCAATTATTCTTTTTTTATGAAGATTATAATTTGTTTAATTACATGGAGTAACTTTTTATCCTTAAAACGATGCCAGGGTGTGAAATAACTTTATTCTTCTTGAATGGATCATGGTGCTCGCAGTTGAGCAGCTGTAAATCAAGTATTTCAAATATTTTATTTTTGTAAAGGTACATGCTTTTCCTGATAGAGTTAAAATTACGGGAACTATATCAGCATTCAAGCACCTAAAATTTCAAGTGAAATTACCCMGACTTTTCACCTGAGCTTTGCAGAGCCAGGATTCCTGTTTGCAGTAATCTCCTAGACCTTGCGTGCAGTRGGCTTCTTAATGTTTTTCCAATTCAAATGAACGAGCAGGAAAACTTCTGAGAGGTACAGACTTTTAGAGTGTGTTCTGATAGGTATCTAAATTACCAAAGACTGATGCCATGAAGATAGATAGAAAATGCTGTCTGTCTCAGAAGAAGATACTGTCTATAATCTGCTGTCTTCCATTCAGGCTTCGTAGAAAAACTCATGAGACTTGGGTAGGAGACAGGCTTATGACAGGCAAAACCACAGAACACACAAGGTTCTCGTGTTTTGGTGGTTTTTTTTACTCTTTACTACTTCAGGAAGAATAAAGTAGCATCTAAAATTAAGTTTCAGTAATAATTTTTCATCTTTTTTTGCTCTGTTAGTTACATGTACATGTCTAAGATGTAATCCTTTTGCTAAATGCAAAGTTAAGGATGAAGAACTGTAAGACTGTAAATAATTCCCTGAATATAATCATTTGTTTCCAGTTGCTTGRGAATATGATTGACTGGAATCTATTTTTTTTTCTTTTTCCAGGCAGGCCTGATAGCTGTATTTGTGTTTTAAAGCTTCCTTTCTGAATGCTCTCTCCTGATTTCTCAGACAGCTTTTCCAAGGCATGCATGAGTTGGTTTCTGAATGCTGGCTGAAACCTTTTCTCTCTTCAGCAGATTCCTGTGTTGTCTTGGGTGTCCTGCTGTAAATCACCAGCCCTCATTTCTATTAGAGACTTCAGATTTGTTCTAGAGGTTCTGTGTCTTTTCTGTGCATCTCATACAATTACAGCCCAGTCTTGAATTCCTGGGTTGTGGTGAGAGTWCAATGTGCAGTTCCTCCTCAGTCTCTGGATATGAATTGTCTATGGGCAAAATTATTTTCCCTTGCTTTTCAAGTTAATGTGTTTTCTGGCTTGGCACATGTGATGAAGCATCAAGGCGACAGGTAAGGAAAGGAATGTTCCTGCAGTTTGTAGCTCAACTCAAAGTCCATTAAACAGTGACAAAACTCAGCATAAATAAACTTCTGATGCCTGTAGTTGAGATCTTTATTCATATTTCTTTCAGTGCCTTGTGAACAAATAGCCAGGTGTTTCTTGAGTATTTGCGTTTCTGTCAATTGCATGTGATACTCRAGTCTGTCTGGTAGTTTCTGTGCCAGGTATGGTGTTAGTCATAGGGATGCCCATTGGCAGACACAGTGTCACTTCTCCATCCTTTGCCATCTATCAGCATGTGTTAACTCTCTTCCAGCCTCCTGAAATTAAATATAGAGGGCAAGATGCAAATAAAAAATTGCAAAGGGGATTTTTGGTGCTGTWCAAATTCAGTAACATCCAATTCTGTGTCCATTAGCTGTTAGTGTTTCAGAGTTTCACAGAAAGGTGGAGTGCCTAATTGCATGTTCTTGTCTCTGGAAATGTAAGTTCAAAGTCTACCAATTTGCTGGCTGCTTTTACCTCTCCTCACTTCTCAGGTGGTTTCTTTATATTGTGGATTGTTTCGCTTTGGACCCTTTCAAGAAGGATGTGTAAGGCCATTACGCACTTGAGTTGCCTCTGCTACATAACCTGTGAGTAAGTTTTGTGCTAAGATTAGTGCATGTTAGTATGGCTGAAGTAGTTGCCATTCCCCATGATGCTGGAAAAGTCATGGCAGTCCARTGAAGTCCCAAGTGACCGGAAAAGGGAAGCCATTACGCCTATCTTGAAAAATGGTAGAAAGAAGGACTCCAAGAGCCACTGGGCTGTCCGCCTCCCTTCTGTGCTTGGGAAGATCGTGGAACATATCCTCCTAGAAGCTCTGCTGAGGCACATGGAGGACAGGGRAGTGATTTGAGAAAACCAGCATGGTTTCACCAATCCTCCCTGACATACCAGAGGCCTTGTGTGATGTAGCGACTGCAGGAGTGGAGAAGGAAAGTGTTACAGATATGCTTTGTCTGGACTTTKGTAAAGCCTTTGACCTGATCCCCAACAACATCCTTCTCTCTGAATTGGAGAGAGGTGGATTTGATGGCTGATCTGTTGGGTGAGGCATTGGTTGGGTAATCGCATMCAGAGAGTAGTGGTCAATGGCTCAGTCCCAGTGGACATCAAGTGACAAATGAAGTCCTTCATGGGT